TTGTGCGACTGATCTTGGCTTTCTGAGACCAAAGTCTGTATAAAACATATCGTCACCCCTGTTATTGTAATAACAACATGTTTTAAATGGGGATTTAGGTGTGAGAAACCTACAGTTAGTTGCTAGTTACTTACGAGAATGTGTCGACTGTAGTCATCAGCAACACAACACAAGGTGACAACGGTTCGTAACAAGCGAATGTATTCGCACTGGATAGTAAACGCCGGTTTGTTTTATAAATACTTTGCATCGAGGCAGAGTTGGGACGCGACTACCAACAGTTTAACAGATCTTTTCTTGTAATGATATAAATAAATGTAGGGAGGACGTCAGGCTATAGAAATCACATTAACTTTAGCTGCAAGTTTACTATTTCGTCTACATTATGCAACTCAAATATCAACCTAATCTTATAATAAGTAATATCTGAGCTAGACCCCTTAGTGAGGAATTAAGTTTTTAATTATACATTTAAAAAAGTAATAGTAGTGAGTGACCTAACCCCCTATTTACTCTATTCATACATTGAACTTGCTGTCAGTTAAATCATTAATTATGTGTGTGTAGTCTTGTGAATATAAAAATTTTACTTGTAAGAGTATTCAAGGGAGTATTATAATGCCGAGTCTCCACGGTTACTTATGACATTGAATACCTTTTTGTTTCGCTATATTGAATCAAATAGTTGTTTTTGTAAATGTTATAAATTTTGTTGCGCGGAACTGCGGAAGGCAGAGCAGAACGGCAACAGAACGCTGTTAACACGTCTTATCTTTCTCCTGATTTACCGATTTACCCCGCAATGTATATATAATATGTATACGTGTATATCATTGTAATTAAGCTGATATGCTTCTAACACAGATAACATAAAATAAAACGTGATTAAATTCAATGAACACTAAAGTATTATAATACGAATATCTGTACGTGTTTGTTTCTCAGTAAAGTTGTCTTTGTGTGTCGTATGATACATTTTACGGTTCATTATGCGTTACCGGTTACCGGTTACCGCTATAAATGTAACACAATTATTTGCAGCCACACGTACACGTAAACTTTTGCTCTATGAATGTGTATTCCATCATAAAAGTATGGTCTATACGTTTTCATTGTCAAAAACATGTGAAACAACTGTAGCTACGATGTCGTCAGACTAGTGTATACAAGTTTGGTTAGTGAACGTACAGGAGAGCAATACCAGTACAGACACTGTCCATTGATAAGTAGTGTAACATTAGAATGCAGTGAGCGCAGCTGGCACCCGGACTTCTCCGTGTAGTTAGGCCGAGTGAAAGTATGTAAAGCAGAACATGACTGGCGGCGAGACACCCCCCCCCCCACACTATCTAACGTAACTTGTGTCATAATATAAGTTACAAACAACAAATAAATAAAGTAGTTGCCATGTTAATATTGGGCGTTATGAATTGTTGTTTTACATTTTTAAACATTATTCACATGTTTTGCGCTACTTTATACAGTTTATTTTTATCTAATCTCGATAGAGCTGAAGCGTGTCGTAACTTTAACTGCAACAAGTGGCCCGCCCGTCACCCGT